ATCAATGCATTATAAAAGCAAAGAAAGAACTCTACTCAGAAGTAAAAGCGGTTCTCTGAACTAAAAGCCTGCACTAGTGGGAAGCCAAAAGCATATTTACCACAGTCCTCAACTGCAATTGGATCTGATAAACTCTTCCCTTAGATGAGCAAAAGTAGGTGGATCAAGGCAAGTCACAGGTCCATAGTGAGAAAGGAAACACAAAAATGTTTTTCTTGAAAAGGTTGCTATTAAATCTAGCCATCTGCTACCCAGGCTTATTTTTGATCATTTCTCAACGTAAGTGAAGAAGTCCCATGAGTTATAAAGAAGATACAATCCAAAGGGTCACCACTGTGTCCCCCTGCTCCGTAGTACCAACCTCAGAAACAGCAGCTGTTCACCAATAATTTCATGGAATTGCTTCTTGTTTTCTGCTGTTGTTGTAAGAATATCTTCACATTAATCAACACATGCAGCCACCTGCTTTTTAAAGTTACCTATTAAGGAATCTGGTGTATATATACACATGCATGTATACTGACACACTTGCTATTATCATTCTCTCACGCCTTGGTAAGCCCTGAAATTTCTACCATTTTGCAGAAGTCTCCAAAACAAATGAGGGAGCAAGCCATTAAGTTGGGTGCTAGACATTGAAAGTACGCACGCTGGGTGTTTCTACTTTCTCTGCTTTCCCTTTCTCTTTCTGTAAATCACACAAATTCTCTTCAGTTCCTCTTTATGTGTTTTCTCCACATCTTTTGGTTCCTTTATAGGCAGGATGTTACAAAAATGCATCATATTTTCCTTGTTGAAACTATTATTTCCACTTTCCATTTCCACTTACTACACTTTTTGATTTAGAACTCTTATTTCCTCTAAACATTTCAAATACCTGATGACTATCAACTTTATTCTTTCCTCCTCCCCAAGCACAACTCCTCCATGAATCTAGGGACAAGCAGAGAGACTTGACTGTTTTTCTACTCACCACCTCTAGAAACCAAGCATATTTCTTATGTTTGAAGACAAGCCCTTAGGCAACTTGCATCAAAGAACCAACAACATTTCAGCAAGCTCAACTTTCCCATGGCTTTCAGAACTCACCCAGTATTGATTTGAAAGTCAGAAATATTCTTAGACAAGGCAATTTCTTCTTTAGAAGCCAAAAATAAAAAATTTACAGGGTCTTTAAACTTAATTGAACTGTATTATTTATTAGAAGCTATTTATTGAAGCATTATTAATAAATGTGATCAGGGAAGGAGTTAATGTACTAAATTACACTCTAAAACCTGCGTATTTGTATGATTATTTCTATTTGTATCTTGAGAAAAAAAATTTTGTTCTTTCAGTTGCTATTGCCTTTGAGTAAAATGCTGAATATTGACTAATGCAAAGGGGTAACCATGATTTCGTAAAAAGAACAAAGCATATCACTCCCAACCTGTTCAAGGGAAGAAGCTGGTATCTTCTGCAAGAAGCAGCAAAACTGTTTGAATACCAGCAGAACAAGCTCCACTGCAAAATGCAATGTCTGAGAGTATTTTAGAGTAGAAGAGACCTCTAGAAGTCAGCTGGTACCATCACCTAGTCAAAGCAGGACCAACTTCTAAGTTCAAGCAGGTTGTTCAGAGCCATTCTGGTAAAGTTTTTACTATCTCCAAGGACAGATATTGCACCTCTCCAGGCAGCCTGCCCTAATGCTTGACCACATTCACAGTGTAATGAGTTTGTGTGGCAAGGTTTCAGTAGCAGAGGGGTAGCAGGGGTGGCTTCTGCAAGAAGCTGCTAGAAGCTTCCCCTGTGTCCAATAGAGCCAATGCCAGCTGGCTCCAAGACGGACCTGCCACTGGCCAAGGCCAAGCCAATCAGCACCTCTGTGATAACATATTTAAGAAGGGAAAAAACAACTTAGAAGGAGCTTTTGCAGCCAGAGAGAGGAGTGAGAAGATGATGTAAGAAACTCTGCAAACACCAAGCCCATGGACGAAGGATGAGGGGGTGTAGAGATTCCACCTGTAGCCCATGGAGGACCCCACGCCGGAGCAGGTGGAGACACCTGAAGGAGGCTGTGACCCTGTGGGGGACCCCCGCTGGAGCAAGCTCCTGGCAGGACCTGCAGCCCCGTGGAGAGAGGAGCCCACGCCAGAGCAGGTTTGCTGGCAGGACTTGTGACCCCGTGGGGGACCCCACACTGGAGCAGTCTGTTTCTGAAGGTCTGCACCCTGCGGGACAGACCCATGCTGGAGCAGTTCATGGGACTGTAGCCCGTGGGAAGGACTCACACTGGAGAAGTTTGTGAAGGACTGTCTCCTGTGAGAGGGATTCCATCCTGGAGCAGGGGAAGAATGAGAGGAGTCCTCCTCCTGAGGGGGAAGGAGCAGCAGAAACAACATGTGACCAACTGACCGTAACTGCCATTCCCCGTCCCCCTGTGCTGCTGAGCGGGGAGTAGGTTGAAACTGGGAGTGAAGTTGAGCCTGTGAAGATGGAAGGGGTGGGGGGAGGTGTTTTAAGATCTGATTTTATTTCTCATTGCTCTACTCTGTTTTGCTTGGTAATACATTAGATGAATTTTTCTTTAAGTTCAGTCTGTTTTGCCCATGATGATAATTGGTGAGTGATCTCTCCCTATCTCGACCCACAAGCATTTCATTGTACCTTTTGTCCCCTGAAGGAGGGGGAGTGATAGAGCGGCTCTGGTAGGCACCTGGCCTCCAGCCAGGGTCAACCCACCACACACAGTGAAAATCTCTTTCCTAATTTCTCACGAATATTTCCTTTATTGTGATTTGTATGCATTAGCAATCTAAACACCTTAGAGCTACCTGTAAATATTTGTAAATCTGTACTATAAATTTAAACTATACCCAAACTAAGCTATTTCTGTCTAAATAGACTGAGCTATTTCTTGCCAATTAAAAATTCTATGTCCACAACAGGAAGAGGGACTGGTCTTGAGAATATTACTCTCCCAACTTAACTAATGTAACAAAGATGGAAGAATCCCGGATTTATGTTCGTTTTGTTGCTTTCAACTTCGAAATGTTTGCTGCAATGGCAAAGCTTCAAACCAAGACCAGTGCTCTTCCCCACTCCTGAAATACATGTGTGCATGCATACACACATGCATAGAGTGAATCAAGCCAAACATCAGCACTTAAAATGCATACCTAGAAGGTAGGAGATAGTATTCTGAGCCCCTGCAGGCTAAGAAGATGAAAGCGCTCAAATAACTTGGCAATTATACAGGAACACTCGTCCAGTTTTGGAAGAAAGTGTTTACAATTCTGTAGGCTGTACTCAATGATACAGAAGCCTTCAGTGTATTCGTGGTAGCCACCTGGACTGAACCCCAAAGGAAACTCAAAAGGAAGAATGGCAGTTTTAAGTATCTTTAACAAACTGCAATTCTGCACAGATCCAGAGAGAGGACTTCTGTTCCATAAAAGCTTAGCTGTGAATGTGTGTGTGGGATGGTACTCGAAAGAGCTTAAAGATGATCCTCCTTGCACTGAGGCACTATTCATTTAATTCGGGTCTTAGTGTAGTTGACAGCTCATTCCTGGTCAATTCCAGGTAAAATATCTTCGGTGTCATTTATATTTGCCGCTTAATAAAGGTTATGTTTAAGGGTACAGTCTTGTGCTCTGCCTAAGTGCTTCCTCCCACCCAGGTTAAGTCTGCTCTTAAAATCAGTTGTCAAGCTATGTATCAAACATAGCCCGATAGAGACAGCTCCGCTAAGTCCTTTAATCTAATACTTCAGGTACACACCAGAAACGGAACATAAAGATTGTAATTTCGGTACTTACCAGGCTTCCTCCTCTCTCCATTTAAAGAATAACAATTGAGTGAACCCATTAAAGTAAATAGGTCAAACAATATCTCAAAATAAAATCAAGCACTAAGCAATAATTGACATAAGCATGGAAAGAGAATATAAACCCTTTTATATTCAAGTATTAAAATGGCAGTATTCAATTAGTCTTCTCTATTTCCCTGGAAACATATGGAAAGTTCTATATACTCAACTCAAACATGTGAGAGGGGCACAGCTGGGAGAACAAGAAATCTTACCCAGAGACCAGCTATGGATGTACATGCTTGACGGACATGGAGAGCACTACTGTTCACGCCCCAAACATGATATGCTATACCACTAACAGCTCAGATACCGTTCTGCTATTCTGACACTTCTCTGAACTACAAGCAATTACAGAATGAAATTTGCCAGGTACAGCTGCTAATAAGGAGTAAGAAAATAATAAAATGGATTTTCCCACAAACTAGTTATAATCTTTATACTTAAGCTTCAATTCCTGATACAGCACAACACATTTACATTGGCTGGTTCCCAATACTTTTCTTTTTAATTCAACCCAATTTGACAGAAGAGTTTAAAGTCCTAATGATAACTGGATTTCCAGAAGTTTTTGATAACTGGTGGCTGGAAAGACAGCAGACATACAAATGAGTATTTTCACTAACTGAAACCCAGGCTATTGTGAACATCCCATAGCCTCACCTCAGCCCATTGAGTAGGCATAAGAAGTTCATTTAGATTATTTACGCCACACTATCTCTTGGCTGCTGGGAGCATCACAAGGCTTGGGAAACTGCACACTGCATTTCTTCAGTGGGTCAAGTTTAAAGGAATCAAAAATGATCTGAGCTGATCTGAAATTCTGCTGCTGATATAACTTGCTCCACAGTGTACTAGGCATTTCTGGTATTGCCTCTATTTATGCATTTGGTAAAATAGACCTCATCTATAATACGTACTACAACAACATATGAACACTATAATGTCCTTCTTTTTCGGGAAGTGTCCATGTCAGGCAGATAAGCCACCTGCCTGCAAAAGAACAAGAAACAAACAAAAAAAAAAGCACCAAACCCCAAACAAACAAAAAAACCCAACCAAAACACCAAAACCCTACACCAACCACTGGAATACAGTGTCTCAGTTACAGATGAAAAATATAAACTTATTTCAACTAGTACATATTTACCTTGAACATGGAGAATTATAAGCAGGTAGGCTCCAAGCAATCGCTCATAAACTCTCAATCGAGTCATTGTTCACTTTTAATACTTCCTGTTCAAGGCAACTCGCCCTTCTGCTTGACAACTGTTAAGCTTAGTCTGTTCGGTGAAGCCTAATACAAGATTTGGTGCTTGACTGCAAAGATGCTTTTGTAACTTTTCCAACTTCGTTTCCTGAAAGATATAGTAAAAGAAAGTGTTAAGAAACTCCTTGCATTTCTGAAACAAGAAACACCCTCAATATTTTTTATCACAATGATCATAACCATGTGGCTGCAAAACATAATTAAAAATGCATATGTTTGTTAAGTTTAATAACTGAAAACATTAGCAGTATTTAGTATCCAGCTGAACAGCAGGGTTCTTCTGAAATACACATTTTTGGTAACAACCCAAAGGAATGTTTTTACATTCCTATTGAAAATATTAGATATATTAACTCACTAGTCACAGCCATATATTTTAGACTCACATACAGCCATCACAGATAATATTCAAGATTAACATGTAAATCTGAAAAATATTTTCTTTACAGAAATTAAAATTTATACTTATTAATTTTCTTAAAAATGAAACTCAATGGTGACTTCCCATAATATTTATTGTGGGGGAAAAAGCAACACCACATTGAGCCACCAGTTGAAAAATGCTCGCAGAGAAGCTTTATTGCAATAAAACCCCAGCCTCTCTGCTGGATGAAAGCTAAATTTGTATTAAAATAGTTTGTTTAGTTATGTAATTTACTTACAGTGTTAGTTTTGTCTTTTCTAGACTAGCACTGTGTCTTTAAAAAACCCCAAGAGAACACAACACAATCTCATTTAATATTTGAATGAAGAAATTAATTTCTCACTTAGCATCAACTATATTCCAGTCCCTCTTCCTGTAGACTACTGTGCTATATAGCATTTTCTGGAGAAAAGAAAGTTAGCTCAGTTCATAATACCAACAAACATTTATTATTAATCTGTTAACTCCAACTCAAAATCCTGATATCAATCTGGATTGCCAAGTTTTGTGCAGATTAATCCCTCCTGAAAAATTATGCTATTATATGCACACGCCATTTGCTCCAGACATAAAATATAATTCTACACATCCAATGGATGAACACATAGCTAAGACAGCCAAATTGAATAAAAGTTACTCTTCCAGACTGCAGTGTGGTCACGTTCTGCTTAACGAACTTTCTCCAGCGATTCACAAGGGAAGCGTAATTGGGCTTCAAAGGACTAAAAAGCAGCTCAAACACCTAAATAGTTAATCGCAACAAAAGCGACGTTGCACAAAGCCAAACAGAGGAGTGATTTTGCCTTTCCTCGGCCTCTTGTTTCGGTGGGCTTGACCCCCCTGACCCCTGTCAGCCTGGCGCTGCTCATGAATGCCAAAACTGGCGTTTGCTCGGGGATGGGCCGCAATTACTGTTGGTGGCCGCTTCCACCATCAATAACTCAATCTGTCTGTCGGTGAGACCCAAGAACTTTTCATTTTAATTAGTGCTTCGGAGGCATTTAACATGGAGGCAAATTAGCGGCCAAGCCGGGAGGTGTCTGTCACTTTCAATTTCGACCCCCGACCCCTGGCCTACTTTTCACACGTCTCTGACTTCTCCCTAATGAAGCGACAAAGCGCCTCCGCGCCAGAGGAAGCTGGGGCGAGCTGCGGGACAGGCAGGCGCTGCTCCCCGAATGCCGCGCTGCAGCAGCCCCAGTGTTGGCCACGACTGCTGCCAGGTTACGGCGGGCCGGACTCGCAACGACGCGCTTTGCAGATGTCCTAAGCACTACTACCTTCAAAATAAACTTCCTGGTGAGGCAGAGGTAAAAGCACTACGGGAACAAAAATACTCTGTTTAGTGTTTCCTAATCACAAGAAACAGGACCGATTCTGACCGCTGACAGGGAACGTCCTTCTAGCTATAAAACCAATGGGCCAGCAACATAAGTCTGTAAGTATTACTGCTTTATTCCATGTTTCAACTGCAATGAACTTCAATCCTCAATAAAACACGTGGACTGCCAACAGCTTACATGTAGTAAAACAACAAAGGCTTTATTTACAGTATTATTTTTGCAGTCCATCAAAAGGAAAAAAACCCACTAATAGTCTGTTTAAAGTATATTTAAAAATGATTTCCGTCTGTCTCCTTCATGCAAGCTTTAGTAAGGACTACATATTCTCACTCTTCCCCATTTCAAGAGTAGGAGTGTTTTAAACGTTCAGAAAATTGGTGATCTCGCTCCCCAGTTCAACAAGGTAAGAGACCAATCTGCCACAGGAACTTAACGTGCAACGTGTATTTACCACTGTACCACATGGTACATCATATAAAAAAAAAAAATCAAGAACAACTGGGAGGAAAAAAAAAAAAGAACATTTTAATGCAACCCACTTCCAATTTCATGGTGATTTTTGTTACGTGACACAATCTAAGGTAGTTTTTTAAAATGGTGCCAAAAATGAATAGGCTTATTCAAGAATGTAAGGCGCTCTGCTTAGAACCAGAATTATGTACCTGAATATTTCTTTCATTAATATTTTGCTTTTCACAGATATATATGTATTAAAATGTAATAAAATGACACTGAGAACAAGTTCTGTTATCATTCCCCATTTAAAAATCATTCTAATTTGAGAATGTCTATCAGCATTTAAAAGACTATCTTAAAAATGGGAAGTAAAACCCAGCAGGGCTGCAATTCCCTTCTCTTCCCCTGAAATGCAGATATGATGCCTTAGTACTATAATGGAGTTATCTTTCTGTTGCTGTTACTGTCAGCGTCAAGTTCGCCCTGAGCCAGGAGAGCCCTGCAGCTGGCTGCAGGGCTTGGGCAGAGCAGAACCGCTGAGCACTGAAGGTAATGTTTCACCGTTGGGCAGGTGAGCTTCAGCCACTGATGAAAAAACTACCGATTGACAATAAAATGTCCCAATAGGAACTACGTGAACTGCAGTGTGGACATACGTCCTATTCTACCACCCACACTACAGAAGCAACAAAGGTGGGTCAAAAACATGACGAGGATGGGGTTGAGGCAGTTTTTTCAGCGACCACAGTAAAATTCAGCTTTCCCGCCACAGCTATCAGAAGAGATTTCAGACATTTTTTACCCATCCTTTGAACTGTTCTTCCTTTTCCTCATGTAAGTTTCTGAGCTAAACAAAGACAATTAGTGCTCTAATAGCCTATGTTGCTCTTTCACAGAAAGGGAAACCAAAAACACTTCCTTTTTAAAATCACCTGGCACTCCAATATAGCTACATAGTTTAACAGCTTAAAGAAGTTTAAAAAAAAACAGACTAGCTGTTCTAGTGCTTCCACCAAAGCCACACCCCAAAATGACGTGGTTATGACCTTCGTATGAGAACGGCTTTCACTAAAACCAAACCAAACCACAACAAAGAATACAAAACTGAAGAGGCCGCAGTGACACCTTTTCTGAACCGTTTCCGGATTCCCATTAAAATGAAGACTGGCAGCCCCACTAAGGCACACTATCTAAAGTGAGCAACAGCTGGAATTTCTCCAAAACATGCCTGATATTAACAGTGTAGAATGACACAACTAAATGACTACTTCAAATGTGTTAAAGCACCAATTAACACCTGGAATGCTACTCTGCCAACAGAGCGATGCTGCAGAAATTCAAACCCATAAGCCAATCAGTTGATTGCAAAGTCCTCAATGTCTCTTTTTTCCCTATTGTAGCCATGAAGAACTATATTGTAGCCATTCAACTATAACCTGTTAAAGAGTAATTTATTCATCAATCATAACACTCAATTTGTCTTTGTAATTTATTATCCTTCCTAAAAATAGGTTATTGAAGAAAATGCTTTTGTTATTAAAACTGTGTGGGTTTTTTTCTGAACTGGAACTCAGCTGTGAATTCACGGCACTATCGATGCAGTCTAGCCCTATGCTCCACGTGACTCCGAATACACAAAGCTAAAGTGTGAGAGATTTGTCATATGGTCCAAAATGATTGTGAGCGCAGAGAGTTCAGTGGTACCTGTTCTTTAGATGTGGCTCTGTAATATTTTTAACAGCATGATCGCCAAACCAAACGAGCTGCACTGTCCCAAATTTCAACAGTGATAGTGCTGAATGTAACAACAAAGGCAGTATTGTAAAAAGGGGAACACATGAAAAAGGAAACTTCCATCTCAGACTTCATAAGAATAAAACATTAAATCCATTTCAACAGACGAGATGTTTCAAAACATTTGCAGCAGTACACACAATACCAAGTAAATGTATTTGCCAAAGCAAAACCAAAGAAATATTAAATGTTTCTCCTATGTGCAATGGAGGAAAGAAGTGACTTAGGTAACTGTAAGCACATTACCTCAATCACATTGTACAGTTTTGAACACAACTTCGAGGTGGAACAGAATGCCAGAGATAAACTGGACTGTCAGTCTAAGCCAGTATGCAGCAGCAACAACAACATTTCTATTAGGGCTTAAAAAAATCTGATACTGTGCCACAAAGAAAATTATTAATTTGGATGAAGAAAAGAGGGATTGTAAGAACAGTAAAGAATTCACTACAGGGCAGACAACAAGTATTTTCAAGAACAGAGATTACTAGCGCAGTTCAAATGACATTCAAGGACCTTGATTCTTGAACCAGTTGGATTCCAGAATATTTACCCTTTTCATTAATGAACTAAGCGCAAAAAGTAAAACTTCGATAAACCTTGCTGACAAACGTGACTTGTCAATTTAGCTGAATATTGTTTTTATGCAGGAAGATTTCGATTACATGAAGAACTGAAGAACAGAAATGGAATGAAATACCACAGCATGAAACTGGGAAGTTACGCATATTGGGAACTCTGAAGAATTTCTGCTCGACATAGACTAGGAGTTCACGCATAGCAGATAGCTATGGACTATCCAAGGACTCAAGTACACTAACTAATTACAGAACATCAGACACATCCATGTGATGTTGCTGGGAGAAAGAGACAAAACACAACTCTAGGATTTCCTAGAGAAATTTCCCAGGGGAAGTGGTAAAACATAAACAGCGCAGAGACAGTATGATTGATAAATTCAGCATATACCTAGAAGGACTGATAATACTATCTGGAGAACAGGAAAGTCCTATGAATGGAGATGAAAAGAAAAGAAAAAGACTAATATAGTGAAAGCTGCAGGGAAATGAT